CAGAAGCCCTAAAACAAACTAAACATTTTTTTTTTAAAGGAAATAAAACTATTCCCCCAACCCAGGGAAAAAAGAAAACCCTGGTTCCATTATATGAATCACAGGGCCTTGCCCATTTTTTTCTACCCTCTGCCTGCTATGGCCTTTGTCCTCCCCAAAATCATTAAGTGCAGCCTTCAGCAGCTGAAATCTTAGCCTCTTCAGATGTGTGGGCATCTGGGGGAGGCAAAGGGAGCAAATGATGCTATGCGCATGGCCTCATCACTACACAACTGCCATTACTTATGTACACTGGTAAGAGGGTATGTAAGACAACTTTGGTGTGATGATGTCACTAGATGCATGCCACCATTTTGGCCTCACTGTGGTTTGCTGTGGGCTCCCCACTGACAAGGTTAAAAAAACAGAAAGGGAAAACAGCAGATTTCTGAGGCCATATCTGGAAGCAAACAAGTATTGACCAAAGCAATAATTGAGCCCGCCACAAAGGGGTAATGAGCAAGGACAGAAAGTTGGTATGAAGTAATTGAAAATTACTTCAGCTGAGATACTGAGCCAGAATTAGAAGATATCTAAGAGCAAAGGGAAGCCTCCCAACCCCCTGAATTATCTGTCTACCATCTGATAGCAATGAGGCACTGAAGGACTAGAGGAGAACTTCATCTTCTGACAAATGACTGTGGTAGTGAAGAGATCCAGTCACATGTTACTGTCAGAATCAAGACCCTTCAGCATCTTTGGTCTGCATCTTTCAAACTCATTCTGCTCATTTTCGGAGAGTGAGAGATTGTAAGCAGAGCTTACACAAAATATACCTCCTTATTTTTGTTTCATAAAACCTATAAGCTAGGGTTATACATTTTAATGGCATTTTCTCAATTTTCATGAGAAGTCATGAGGTAGGGACAATTGTACCTGACACTCTCTTTTGTCCATAGCATTATTTACAAAAGTCTCATCTTGACTGGCTTTTGGGGAATAGATTATTTTCACTGGACACGTGCCTATTTATATACCCATTTTATACTATTTCTTTTAATGCTGGTAAACATGTTGGCTCGTTGCTATTAATATTGATCATAAAAATATAATCAACACTGGCCGCCTAATATATAATAAACTAAAATAAGCTGGGGTATTTTGCACCCACTGGTCTGTATTGTGCCCTGCACTTATATAGTAGATCAATTTTGGAAAAATGATGTCCCTGGATGCCATGGTATCCATTAAAAGCAATAAAAATGGCACCTATGGAGGTGTGCATTAGTTTTAATTTTTCAGAATTGACTGAGATGTGGCAAGATTGTCAAATCCCATAGGATTTTGAATGCCAGAAATTTCATGAGATTTCAAACAGTTGAGAGGGGAAGCTACTGTGCAAGTTGTTCAGGGCTTGAAAAGATTGTTAACTTTTGTATGCATGAATAATTTTATCATTCACCCATACATACAGGTATATACTGTATTTAATAAGAATTACAATATTGGTAGCAGTAACAGCAGGTAAACTCATTAATATAGTATATCATGTAAAGGAATATTGTGTTTAATTTATGATGTATTTTCTGTTGAGCCTAATTCCGTTTATTTGCTTGCCTTGGTTTTGGCTTCCCCTTATGAAGCTCTACTTATCCAATTTCCAGATGACCCTACTGTGGCCAAATTGATGGAGTTCTGTGACCTTCCTTTATGTGGGGCTCCAATTCCCAGCTTAATACTTTGCCATTTCTATGCCTCTAATCCTTATTCCCCTCGCATGGCCATCTGTTCTTTATTCTCCAAATTTGACCGTTTCTGCTAAAGCGTGTGACCTTTTATTCTTTTGTGGTTTTCCTTATGTCCATGTTCTTTCTTCTCTTTTGGGTTTTTCAATTTAGATTTAGATGCCCGTAAAAGTTTTGTTTTCCACAAACAAAATCCACAATGATGATGGTACACAGGCTTTGATCGATGCCCACATTTTCTGTAATGAAGGTGGACATCCAGAGTATGTCCTGGCTGTGTTTAGACGCCACTTCAGGTCCTTCATTCTTTCAAATCCCCCCAGTGGTTTCCATTTGTCCATTAGGCTTGAACATCTAGTGGCCTATACTGAAAGTATGCAAGTCAGTTTCCATTTTATCCAGATAAAGGTAATCGCTATCTTTTAACTAGTAACATTTTTCATTTTTAAGTAATTCTTTCTGCTAATCCGTTAGAATATAACTTCGCTTCTGTGTTTCTTCTTCCTTATAAATGCTGGTAGGCACCTAAGTAGAAAAGCAGAACTTTCAGTACCTTTTTTTGGGGGGGGGGTGTCAATGATTTCTGTTCATCAGAATGAGGAATAGCATTTTTTGTGCCTTACGTTCAGAGCCAATCATAACTATTATTATTTTCAGACTGATCACAAGCACTACCACAACATGATCATTTGTGATGGAGGGGAAGGGGCCACAACACAGTTATTTTCTTATTGAAGCATGGTCTGTAGGCATGCTGTGTTGGGAAATGTATTTTGGATGGGCTGTTATTAAATAAGAACCCCTTTGAGACTTAGGTCAAGAGTGATCTTCTGTGGTCTGGGGACCTTGCCTGGAAGAGCTGTGCATTTCTGGTATTTTTTTTTTAACTACTTGTAGCAGGGAGATGAATTATCATTCTACACAGAGCATAAACTCATGGCATAGGGCCTGGTTATCTGAGGGACCGCCTGTCTTCAATTGTTTCTGACTGTCTGGTATGTTCCGGCAGGGTGGATGTGTTCCAGGTCCTCTCTATTAAACATTGTCATCTTGTGGGACCAAGGAAGCGTTCTTCCTTTGTCATGGCCCCAGAGATATGGATAGCACCCGCTCTCCTGGGATTCCAGAAAGCCCTTAAGATCTGGCTCTGGTCCCAGGCCTGGGGTTAATATGTTGGTGGGGCCTCTGTCAAGTTTTTATTGTTATCTTTGCTTTTAGGCTGGGTGTCATGTTTTGTTTTATGTTTTTAACTGTTCATTTAGATTTTGTAAGCTGCCCAGCATATGTTTTATTGTTAATTAGAATAGCCTTAAAATACTATCTATATAATTCACTGCGTCTCTGCGTTTTGATTGATACATCAACATTCAGCAACCATGTAAAGTGTATTGGTTTGCACCAGTTTCTTAAGCTGAGGTTTATAGCTAAGAGAGCAGATGGTGGACAGTTAATAGAAAAACTGCTGATGTGAGTTCCTACGCCAGCATCTCCCATGGGCATCACCTATCAGGTCTGTAGCTCAGTGGCTTACAAGGGTCCCAGGCACAATTCTCCAGAAAAGTCTGGCAAAGCTATCTGTCTGAAGCACAGGACAATTTGGGGCATTCAGTAATGGACTAGATGAAAAAAGGGATTACTTGGAATAAACTTTTGATGCCCCTAAAAAAGATCCTATGTAGTCATTCCTAGACTCATTCCTGGGTAGAGCTTCTAGAAGGTAAGAAAATAATGGCTCCAATCTGAGTAACAAAGGAGAAGGAAATTGGAGATGGAAGAGGAACATTAAGCCTAAGAAATGTAAATGTACCTTCAAGTTCTTATGAATAAAAAAATGGCATTTTAAAAAGTAATAGAAACCTAAATGGTGGTGGTCAGTTCTATTCTTCTCACATATTCTCAGTTCTCAACATCTGCAACAATACCTCTTTGGAGCCTCTAACTGCCTACGATTCATAACTATGAAAACCATACGTTTTTGTTTAAAATTTCCCATTTCATTCATTGGGGAGAGCATAGCTAGTCACAAGTGAAGGGATGGTTAACTATCCAATATTTTGTACCCCATGACCAGCTGATACAAAACAATCACAGGGTTCTTGATAATCCATAGGAAGTATGGGAAATATTGCTAATTCTAATATGAATAAGAATATTATAATCTGGACAGCCTCTACTACAGATGGAAATATTAGGAGAATACTGAAATACAGTGGGCACAATCCAGAGAAAGTTAACTATGAAATCAATGGGGCTTAAGTGCTTATATTTGAACTTAAATCTCATTGATTTCAACTGAACATAAGCTCACTTAGCTTTCTCTTGATTGTATCCAGTGACGTCTTCCAGCCTGGTCCTCTGGGATGTAAGGCTTAGAATGACTCTGGGTGTGGCCACAGTCCCACTAAATTCTCAAAACATCAAGCTTGCATCAAGGGAACTGCAAACAAACAAACAAAACCCACGGAAAATTTCTACAATGAAATCCAAGCATACCTTTACGTATGAATGTAAACATATCATACAAACGATATCAAGTTATATTCTTGAAAGGGATTTTTAGGCGTCATCTCCTGCATGTCATTTTAGGAGACTGAACTACCACAAGTAAAACATATCTCTAATTTTTCTTCATTGTCTTCTCAGGGAAGCCACTAATGGTGCAATTTAATACTATGTGAGTTATCTGGCAGATTACCCCTACAGCACAGGGGTGAATGATTCACGGAGTCTGTTCTCATGATGAATATATGACTCTCTCTCTCACTACAGAAATTTTCGTCGTAAGTGACATGTAAGTGCACAGTAGTAAAAAAGGTAATTTAGCACTAGTAATTTAGCAGGACATTCTTTTCGAAAAGCACCACCAGAAATATGAGATGTTACGGACATATATGGGCATTTTATGCTGTCTAACATTTTTATACTTCTGAAATTTATGATGCCTGCAAATAACTAAACTGATTGTTCATGGTCTTGTATGATAGACATGATGCTTGCTGCTTATTCATATCTTTAGAGTTGCACAGCATGGCCTAAATAGAAATATAATCACACGGATAGGGAACTCTTTAAATCCTATGTGTTTGGGCGTGTTTGAGACAGACAACCCTGTGAAATAATCAGTTTCGTTGACTCCAAGGACACCAAGGGAGAAACAGTTTATAAATGCTGAACTCTATGGATAAATAGTCTGCAACTATTGTTGCTAGCAAAATCACTTGTTCAGGGTTTTAATAAAGGGCTCGGAGGAATAATTGGCATGAAGATTCAACTTACCCATTGTTGACCCAGATTCAGGCCTGTTCAAGGAGCTAATGATTACGAAGCCAAACCCTTCATTTTCTTTGCGATGGATGATGACATCGCTTGTTTGCAAGCTGTGTGAAGGAAAGCTCTCGGGGGGTGTAGCATTGTTACTTGACCCAACATGATTGCTGTTAGCGTATGTAGCATAGTCACTTCTTGGAGAACTGTGGTGGGTAGACACAGAGCCTGGACTTCTGCCATTCTCTGGACATGGTTCTCCTGAAAAAGACATTGCACAAGGATCAGAAAACACTCTTTCTACTACTTCCTGCATTCGAAAATGGACTCTCTCTTTCAAGAGGGAAGTATTGGTGAGTCTCGATTCAAATCATGGAATGAACCTTATGGCTTATTTTAGGTAGTCTATTGCTTTGGGGCCTAACCTACTTCAATAGTAACTTCAGAGCCTCAGAAAGGTTCAGGATCTGCAGTTACCTGCTCATTCCTCTGTTATCTGGGAGGAGAGCAGCCAACTTGCTGGTTCCTAAGAACACTATTAGGAAAACCTAAGAAAGACTTTGTCCTAACAAATAGAATAATAAATTGGGTTCTAAAATGGAAGTAATCTCGTTGAGATTTCAGGAACCTTATTCTTTACTTTTTCAATAAATTTGTCAAAAACGTTCAGTGGGAGTCTTGCTTCAGATGAGTTGGCTAAGAAGAACTGGATACCTACACAGAATCTGCTTACAGTAGTTATACTTGTGTCACTATGATTAATTATGGTTGCCATATTTTGGCTGCAAAAACCCAGATGACCACTAGTTGGCAGCAAAGGGCTGGAACAGGGCTTCCTAAATCCTGTGGTGCTATGATTCCCTAAACGATAAATGAACTTTAGTAAACGATTCTCCATTAATAAAGTCAATGGCTTTATTAGGGTTAGGCTGGGCAAGAAACAAACATAATTCACTTTTTATCATTAAATTTTAATCCATATATCTGTGCTTTCTACTCAAATCTTTGCTTTATGGGTATATGTACATTTCCAAATAAAATAGCATTGCAGAGTACCCTCCTTCTCCCTCCCCCATTTGGGCAGCAGGAGCCTTTACCCATGGCAGCCTTCCCAAGGTCTGCTGGTGTGGGATTCTGGGTTGATGTGGTTGATGGATGCTGCTATCCTGTAACCAGAAACGGGCAGGTAGGGAAGCCTCTATAAAGCAACTTTTCATAATGAGCACTAAAGAAACTTCCCAAACATAAACAACAAGCATATTTCTCTGCTTCCCAAAGAGTGGTTTTTTAGGGAAAAAAGACAAAGTCTGCTTCTTGTAAGTGTGCAAAGGAGCTGGCTTCTTCCTGCCCCCTTTTTGCTGCTTATTTAGAAAGCCTCCCTAGGAGCCGCATGGATTTTTGCTGCTGCAAGAGGTTGACTGGGCACAGAGTCCTTCCTTGGGCAAGGAGGGGAACTGGCCAAAGAAGAGGAAGGGAAGGCAGACCCAGGCAAAATGAGAAGTCACAGAGACCAGCTGAAACCTGCACCCTTAATACAGAGTGCAAAGGGGATTCAGATGTGGAAGGATGAGACGTGGCATCTTTAAGAGAAGCCAGGGACCCCTTGTGTCAGTTTAATACAGCCTTAGACCAGTACAAGCAATGTATTTATGTGTGCTTTGTGAGTACTTATAAATCTATCTTAAGAGACTGTAAATAAAATTTAAGACAAAATTAAAATACCTCTATAAAACAACCTGATTAGAATCTGTGAGTGAAGTCCAAAAGGAGCAATTTATGTCTAGGTTATGAGGTAGTATCTAAAATTACATAAAATGTGAGGACATCTAAAATTACAAAGATATGATTACAGGCAGTCCTCACTTAATAACCATTTGTTTAACGATGGTTCAAAGTTACGACGGCCTTGGAAAGGGTGCTTTACAGCCTGTACAGCCTGTAAAGCACTTCCAATCATCATAAAATGTTGTGCTGTCCCTCTGCAGTCACGTGGCCACATTGTGGATGCTTGGCAACTGGCTCACATTTACAACCGGTTGCCAAGTGCCCTGCAATCATGTGATCGCCATTTGCAATCTTCTCTGCTGGCTTCCCCAGAAAGGCAATGCAGGGAAGGTTGCAAGCGAAGGGGATGGAGGGAAACCTCTCAGTGGTATGCAGGAACGGAGCTCAAATCCAGAAGATTTGAGCTTTGTTCCTCCAGCCCCAGGAAGGATTTCCCCTCTGTCTATGGAAGGGAGAGCAAACCCTTTGACGGGCTTTAGGAACATTTGAGAGTGAAAATGCTGCCTGCTGGGAGGATTTCAGGTCTCAAATGTTCAAAAGATGCTTTTCAGTATGACTGAAGAACTACTTCTCCAAAGGTTAAAGCAGCTCCTCCTTTTGAAATGCTGATGCAGCTGCTTTGAAAGCTGTCCCTGACTGTGTGTGCATGGGTGCATAGCTCTTCACTTCATGGATGATCCAACATGTTGACTTCCCATATGCAAACGAGTAGGACCAGCCTTTGCTCCAGAAACCTTCAGAAGGATACAGTTGTTTCAACATTTACAAGAAGGAGGCATCATTGGTGCTAACATGCTTTGCAAACCTTGAATGCTTCTCACAGCCCTAATGTCTTGCCCAAAGCATGTTACAATAAATGCAATAGTATTGATTCCTATGTGAATATGCAATAGATTGAGTGACATGTTGGCTCTTAGCCAGGTGTCATGTGCTTGCTGTCAAATAAATAATGGAACCATCCTTGATCTTTCAAATCAGATAAAATCAAATCCAAATATGGCACAGATTATTACTTTACTCACGCTTCCGTATGAGAAGCAAAACCCTTCCAGTTGAAAAGTGTTTCTCAAGGCAATTATTCTTTACTCCTGGAAGTGTGTCCTCTAGCAGTCCTTGCAGAACTTTGGTATAAAGTCATTAATGGAAGAAAGAAAGAAAAAAAATCCCACCAAACAATGATTATGCCACTACATTTAGAACTGAAAATTTCCCAAAGTTATTGAACCAATGCTAAAACTAAGTGCCACAGTCAGTGACAAGAAAAATCTCATTTTCTGGCTGTCATGTTTTGGAAGGTTGAATGCTGTTTATGTCACTGTGGGTGCAACAGAAAGGAAATTATCTTACCCCACTGAATTACTGACAGCTGTCTCTGCTGTAAATGAATGCAACTGATTCCCATTAACTACAGGAAAAATGATAAACTAGATAGAACAGATTTTATATTGCTATTGGATTTCTATCTATTCTGAAAGATCTATTCATCGGAAAAAAAGAGTTAAAGGTTGGCTATACTCTCTGCAGAAAGGAGCACGTTAATCCCTTTCTTCCTTCAAATGTCAGTATTTCCTGACTATTCAGGTTTTAATAGTTGGCAACTCTATTCCTCATTTAAAAAAGAAAAATAAAAAAAACTAAACTAAAAGCATGATGACTCTTTAAACCTAGAGTGCAGTCTAGACTATTAAATGCTTTCAGAATAAGCTAGATCTTTTATACTTGGGTTAATTAGATTTCTCTCATTCTGGCAACACTTCATACTAGATCCATTTTTCAGAAATATGAAAGCATTTCAAGCTCAGAAAAAACTCTTACTAGGAAGTACAAGATGCCTTCCCACCATCTAGATACTCTCAGCCATGTAACATCCATTCTTTTCTTAAAGGTCAGGATGTGAGGGACCCATGCAACTCTTTTTTCCTGTATTATAAAAATACAGGAACAGTACATGCAGCCATATCCAATCTTTCATTTGAGTTTAGCCTCTTCTCATGTATTTTTTGGGTTTTCAACTTTAAAAAAAAAACATACTCAGCTTTCCTTAAATTCACAACAATCTTTTGCCCTTGTAATTTGACCAAGACACATTATCCTTCCTTGAGTTGCTCAATGACCACTCAGCTGGCATTGTCCTTATGATCTTGGTCTCTGGTCAAGGCCCTGATTGGGGCACCAATGGTAGTTTGATCACAAGGATCATTCTGATTTGAGGACAAACCTATCAGTCAGTGAATCCAACCCTTTTCTTCTCTCCTCAAAATGAGGCAAGCACCCCAAGATGATGATAATGATACTACTGAGCCATTACAGCATCATTGTTTGCAGTACAGAGCTTTGGATCAGTTTGGGACCCAACATCATGGAGAGTTTTTATTTATAAAAGGTGGTCATAGGTAAACACCAATCTGTTCTGAATTTCTCTGATTTCCCTCAAGACTCGAATGTTGTCCAGATTTTGAAACACAAACTTGATATGTAATGAAAGCAATTACAGGCATCTCTTCCTAACCACCATGATGCCAAAATGATGAGAAATATGCTGTGACATTCCGATGCAGGTTCCACCATTTTATGCTTGCATCTTATGCAAGTATGTAAATGACGGAATTTGCCTCACAGTGCTGTGATGGGCATTTCATCTCATTACCCACGCTTGCAAATGCCCTGGGAAAGCAATCTGTAAAAGATGTCATTAGTTGGGAGAATGAGATCCTAGGCTGAAGGTAAGTATGCTACTCAATACTTGTCATTTAACTCCCACTCCCAGTAAACAGATGGGGTCAGGTTGCACGGAGTGCTGTAGTCTTCAGCTTCAGTGTGAAACAAATGGATTTCAAAGCTGAAGTGTTTTCCTGAAAATAGATCTTGTCTTATTCTTCTTTCCCCTTCCTTCTGCTGCATTAGGGAAAACTGGAGGGAGTTAAATGGCCTTGATCCAGCTAAAATTAGTAATATTTAATTGAAAACAAGGGAACAAATTAATTGAAACTAATTTAATTAACAGAAGCTGCATCTCTATACTCACTTAGTGGGAAATAAGACAAAAGAGCTTACTTCTGAGTAGACAAGTATACTGTTGCACTGCTTATCATGTTTAGCTTAATTCATTTAATTTAATTTATAATTTTAACTTGACCAGTTTCTTGTTTTATTTTTAAATACCGAATGATAAAAATGGTCATCAGTCTGAAAAAACGAAATAAACTAATTACAATAGCAGGCTATCGTTTTTATCTAAATGAGAATATAAATAATTCATATAAAAAAGGATAGCAAAACTTTTTAAAAATGAACATAAACAGAATCCTGATATTCCAATTCCAGTGGCCCTGAAGCTTAATTAATGGCATGTAAGTAAAAGAATTGGATAAGAACAAGTTGAAATGCTAAAAGAAGTACTTTTGAGTGCAGTCGTAAATAGTTCTACATTTATCTTAGCTTAGAATCTGATTTTAATTCATGTTCAATCAGTGGAATTAAATTCTAAGAAGCCATAGAATGTGGCGCTGTGATTAAATCATGTGAAGTTATGTCATACAGTAAACTTCAGAAACAATAGCTGAAACTGTGGGTCTTACTGATAAATTAAATGTTAATAAATCACCAGGCCTAGATGGTAAATTAAGAAGAATGCAAGGGATCCTCTGCATTAATCACTGCCTGTTCCTGGTTGAATATCAGTTCTCAAGACAAGACTTACTCATGTTCCCTTGAACTGCAGTTGAGCATCTTTGTATCTGAGGGTGTGCAACCTTTAGATGAATTTAAATATCTTAATGCATCTTTCCCTAAAAGTTTCTCAATGAGAATATATGAAGGCAAGTCTCTTATGGAATGGAGAGTGAAGAAATAGAAAGTAGGTCTAAGTGGACATTCTCCACTGATGGAAGAATATAACAAGTGAGATTCTCAAAGCTTTTGGATGTGCTAACCTTGTTAGCATGGCCATACAAGAGTCATAATTAAGTGTGAGCAGTGAGAATGTGCAATTCATGGTTGCTACTGTGGTGAAAATAAAGGGTTCTTTCCAAACTGAAGGAATGGACATTCACTGAGCAAATACATTTCAATGAAAGCAACCATCAAAACCATCAATATGAAAAGTGTTCCCCCAAACAAAAGCAACATGATGTTGATAGCATTTCACTAGTCTGCCTGCCTAGAAAATAAGCTCGTCTGGTCATGATGGCTGGTTCAAGGAAAGTATCAACCCAGTATGAGGCAGATGTGAAAAAGACAAATTCCATATTAGGAATAATTAGGAAAGAATCATGGTGGATTGCTCCATGGAAGCATTCTTTCACTGTGAGGCAGCTGTGAAAAAGGCAAATTCCATTTTAGGGACCATTAGGTAAGGAGTTGAAAATAAAATTGCTAATATAATAACGTCCAGAAGGGTAGCTGTGTTCCTCTGTTGCAACAAAAACAAATGTGCAGTGGATACAATCCATTAATGCTCAAGGCAGAATTCATGTGTTAATCTTTAAGGCACTAGAGGCCTTGTTACTTTTTAATATAGTAATAATTTTATACCTCTCTATGTGGTGGCCACCCTCACAGAGTTCTAGTTTGCACATTTGGAAGAATGATAGCAGTTTTCAGATGTATGACTCAAGTTTTAAAGAATGGTGGACAGCCTTTTCGGGCTCCAAAGGCCACAGAATGATATTGTTCCTCCGAAAGCCAACAAAAAGAAGTCTTATTTTCCCGTTAGATAAACTCAGCAGCTTATTTTCTACGTCGTGAGGGCACTCTATCAATATGCTAGAAAATTCTAGCACATAATGCTATGGAGATAGAACATGATGAAAAAAATATTTCCCTCAGCTCTTAGGAACTTCATGGATAAGTTCACGTAGGGCTGTGCAACTTGTATCTCTTCGAGGATCTAAAGGGGTTTGGCAACATGTGAAGGGCTCTACTCCAAATGTTAGTGGAGCAGGGGTGTCTGCAGGTTGGGTCAAAAAAATCATCAAGGTGACTGTGCTCGTTAGGAAAGCACACTTGTTTGAATTAGGGATTTATGTATTTTTCAACAAGGAGGCATGGATTCTGAGTAGCTATCAAACGTTCTGGAGTTATTCTAATGTAACTTTCCCGATTTTTTCTGATCCCTCCTTTTCATTATTATTATTACCTTGAGGTTACATTATATTATTAATACCGTTTTAAGCATGTATGGGATTTTTGTTTAATTAGTTGGGTATAATAAAATAAATAATAGGAATAAAAAACAGCTACACAGAGGAAACTACCTACAACAGATCTGTGTATAAGAGGAAGTTGCAAATAAAAAAAAAAATGCACATTTTAAAAATAAATCTTTTTAAAAACAACCACACCAAAAGACCCAACAAACTGGAAAAAGTTGAACTACATTTCTATGCCACACTCCCAGTTGTAAGAGTCTGACAGGCTTCCAAGAATAAAAAGCAAACAGTAAAAGCATAAAGCAACACACACAAATAAATAACCAATATTTTTATTTATAAAGCCACCCTCCAACTACAAACAAAATTAAAAAGTAAAAACTAACAAGAGATAATCTTATAAAAAAGCAATAGAATCAATATAGACCATGAGATATTTATTTATTTATTTACTTATTTACTTATTTACTTATTTATTTATTTATATATCAGATTTATATCACTGCCCAACTCCCCCACAAGGAGGAGTAAAAAGTAGTCACAGTAAAAAGAAATCAGCTCTAAAATCCTACATCTGCCATCTTTTTCTTTATTATGTGCCATCAACTCCATGTCAACTCTTAGTGATTCCTGTCATCTACCTTTGCTAATAAGATTTGCGGTAAAACAGCCCTACCATCTAACTTTACTAACAACCATTCTCAGTATCCACCCCAGCCATTTCTAAATAGTCTGCTGCTGAAGGTTGCATAACACAATAATAAAACTATAATATAAATATAATGAAATATATTCAGCTGGTAAGATATATATTAAAACCCTGTTGAGAGAGGATTGTTTTCACTTCCCTCCTGAATCTTAACAGAGATGGGGCCGTCCTTATATTGGAGAAGGGAACAGTTCCACAAGGCTGGGGTAGCTAAAGAGAAGGCAAATGTCCTGGTCCTCACTCCTTGGGACTTACTAGGTGGAGAAGGGGTGGAGTAGGGAATGGAAATATGCTGCATGCCTTCACAACTAGTGATCCTACTTGGGAAGGATGGTTCCAAAGACAGACACAGCACTGACGACAATACGTCAGCTAACCAGAAGAACGCGGGCTGGGTAGTGGTAAGACAGAACAACAGAAGATGAAACATGCCAAGTCCAATGGACAGCTCTAAGGGAAAGCTGAAACATAAATATGTTCTATACTGTCTTTTCCCCCCCATCAAAATCCTCAGCTCACCTGTAGGTAGCACCTTTCTTCTCACAGTAAGATTCACTTGCCCATTTCGAGCCGCGTTGTGCATGAGATCAATCACATATCGGTGAGTTTTGCCAGCCACGGGGATTCCGTCAACGTAGACCAACTCATCGCCCGGGTGCAGGCGGCCATCTCTGTCTGCCGAGCCCATAGCAATTACTGCACCAATCAGAATCTAAGTCAGAACACACAAATAATGTTACAGGTGGAAATACAAAAACAGCCAAAGAACTCCCAGAATGTTTTGTGCAATGAGTAGAATGCAATGTCCTTTTTTCCACTCCAGGGTGTGTGTGTGTGTGTTTTTGTGATTGGATTCAGGAGTCATCCTTCTTAGAAGCCAAGGAGAAATGTCCCTATTCATTTGCAATAACGGAAGCTTTCTGAAATAATTAAACGTACAATGTTTCCTAAAGAGGGCTGAGATTCATAATCCAAAGAGCAACACATGTGTGACAATTACAGTGCTGAAGAAATTCTTCTTAACGGATATTCTTTAAAATTTAAAAATATAAATTATCATGCAATTAAGTCTGTAAGCATACAGGATGCTGGAAACTTCAGAGTTTTCAGGACAAAGCTATTCAGGCTTTTAAAAAGGTTTTACGTGCTATAGGTAACCTATGCCCCATGCCCTAGTTGGAGAAATTGCTTTCTTCAGGACTCTTGTTTTAGAAGGAATTGGAAGAGTGGTGTGTGAACTCCTGAAGGCTTCATGACAAGATAATTACAACTGCCTGTTCTTGTAGAGTTTGCTCATCTCATTCTGTTTTAATCTGATAATACATTTTATGTTGTACAATGTTGATTAGACACTTGTGCTATTAAAGAAGTTTCTGCTCCCTGCAGATGAGAAATAAATGTTCTGAGAAATGTGTTTTTATCTTTTGACATCTCATTTAATTTTAGAACTTGGCTTTTGGCTTGCTTCCCTGCTATGGTGGTAGTGGTGGTGGGGGGTTGGTACAGTTGATGGACTATTATAATGTGTGAGCTGGGAATCTAAGGACCTTAGCGGTAACGTGATTAAATAAATGAAGCAGTATCATGGAAGTTGCTGTAGGTTCTTCCTCACAACAGGTATTCCTCAAATGAGGAGACTTCGTACAAGAAGAGGAAAGAAGTAATGTACCTATCAGTCCCTAAGCAGTGATAAACCTCATAGGCCATAAAGAGTGATGCAGTGATCAGTTATTTCAGAAGGGTGCCCCTTTACTTTGGGAATCACCTTGATTAAAAAGCTTTGCACGTCAAGTGATATGAAAATTCTTTGTAAGGTGCTTGATCTCTGATGGTTTATTTATACAATCAAGTATCCAGGCGCTTCAGAGCAATCCTTAGGGTGATTGCACAGCAAATGTTTACTGCATGCACTTCAGCTTTCGTAGAAAAATCACCCTTGACTGAGTGTGCAGCTCAACTGAGAATATGAATCAAATGAATAACATTTTCCAGTGGAATCATTCTTCACCTGATGAAGCATTGACAGATATCATAAGGGAAGCATAGGCGTGTGTATAAATCAGTCAGTAGTGAAGGGATACCATTAGGTCTGCGTCTTGCACGCTGAGCACAATATTAGATTACTTCATAGGCAAATATGTTAGCACTGTCATCTAAGATCGTAATGTCAATCCAAAGGAGCTCAGTTTTCCAATGAAAATATATACATTTCCCCCCCATCCTACCAAGGTTTCTTGATGAACAGCTGACTTTAGTTGAGAAGTACTTCCTGAGGCATTCTCTACATAAAGCAATGGCTTTCCCATTATTTTTAAAGATTCTACATATTTTTTTCTTCCAGGCTGAGGAATCCAATCCTTAAAAAAAACACCATTAAAAAAAAAAGAAAAAAAGACATTCTTTTATTCTTTGTCACTAAGAACAAAGAAGAACTTAAGGTTCTGGAATGTCAGAGCATACTTAATATAAAAGATAAATAGAGAGTGGGACAGAAGACCAGCATCAGCTGCAAAAAGTCTTTCTTATCCATCCCTTTTTTTGGAATTATATACATCAATATTGATGTAATGGACAAGAGGAATAACCTTGAGGAACAGGAGGAAGAGCGGATACCAAGACAACAGTAAGATAAAAAAGAAAAAAAATCTGAGTCTGGGCCAGAACTGTAACCTAAGGAAACATCTCAGACAAGACCCTCCCTACTTCTCATGAATATAAAAGGAGGGAGAGGGGAAGTACATTCAGACTTGCAAGATTCTGTTACAATGGCTTTATAACAAAAGGACTATTAGCCTACATGACTTTGGTTTCCTAGTCTGGACTACTTTGAAGGGCTGACAGTTAGTTCAGCTGTATTATTTCTCATTATTAGTTAGTGGTATTCATAGGATCTTGCTGCTTTCATAAGAATAACAAAATCAGTGTGGCAGTGCAACTCTGTCCCTTTGGGTGTGTATGTGACATTAAAACACATGTAGAAAAGGAGTGAGGTTTGTGTTGTAAAGTTGCAATGCTTCTTTCATGAATTTTTCATTCCCTCCTTCCTGCTGATGCCACTGTTACTAGCTCAGGGGTATACCTCAGGGGACCTGTCTTCTTATTCAGCAGTTAAATAGTTAATGTGTAAATGTTTCTTTCTTATTTCAAGGGATGAAAACAGGCTCCATGTCCTGGCCCACAGAAACAGAGCTCAACAACCTTTTTCAGGCATTGGATTCCCAACATGCAGTTTTAAAAATAACTAGAGGTCAGTGGCACCATCTAGCGTAGTGGTGTTGGGTCACCTCACAACGGATATCACTTTTCCTGTAAAATTTAGTATTTACAAATGGTCAAGGGTTTACAAATTTATAATTGTTCTTTTCATAAAGTAATGGCTACAACTGATGACAGGATTGGATGCACAACCTCACATGTTGAGACAGCTTATGCACCTCACCATGAAACTGGTATGAGGAAAGACTATGACTCCTGCTTTAGAAGATACAAATACAGATGGATGCAAAAGTTTAACTCCTGGGCTAACTGTATTTTTCAGTGCATCCCTCGTGAACTGAAGGTGACCTAACTTCTACATGGTTTCAGAGTTAAACATGACATCTTGCTGCATTCAACACAAATGGAGGCTATTTAGGTGCTATTGTTTACCGATTCAAAATAAGAAAACAATGAATGTGGCCTGTGCAGACATCTGGACAGTTGATTCATTGCAGCTGTTGTAAAGTTTTTAATAAGGTCAAAAAGGCGATTGACATTACAGTTAGTCCAGGGAAAATAATTCTACTGGTGAGCAAATATGGTGATAAGTAAGGAATCTGGAGCTAACCTTGGGGAAGGTATGAGAGAACTGTTAAGGGTGCTTAGTTAACCTCATGCTTGTTGGATGGCCTGGACTCAGATTTCTTTTATCTGTCTGTTCTCTTGGTAGCAACTCTTCCTCCTGTTCCTCAAGATTATTCCTTCTTCCTATTACAACTTCTCTCTTAATAACTCACTCCTTCCTCCCCCCCCCAGAGGAAGGAGTGAGTTATTAAGAGAGAAGTTAGAGAAGAGATTACGTTGTCCTGAGATACAGGGAAACTTGAGAAAGAAACTCAGAATCACCCCACTTTGATTTTGCTTAGTATAAGATGGGGCAAAGAAAAACTTGGACAGGATTTCAGGTTCTGTTATTCTACCTTACTATAATGAAGAACATTCTGGAATCTCTGCTGTACATGTTTCTTGACCTGGCCTACCTCAAAGGGCTGATTTGCCCTTTCTAACCTCTCCGATTGTGACTTGTTCTTTCAACAAGCATGAGGTTATCTAAGCACCTGAGTATTTGAAAGTAAAGTCACTCTTACAGTTTATAAAAAAAATTGAAATGCTTCCAGTTAACACTTTCAGCTATGAGAAATACTGTTAGGAAATGGAAGTTACTTGGAATAGTAGAAATCGAGGCAAGATCTGGAAGGCCAAGAAAAATGTCTGTTTGAACTGCTCCCAAACTGGCCAGATTGGCAAAACAAAATCTACAAATCACTGCGAACAACTTGCTGAAAAGTTGGCTGACATTTGTAGTTGTCCACCATGTGGCATGGTTTCTATAACAAGCGGAAGAGTTGTCTAAAGGAAACTTTTTTTCTGACCTCATCACAAAAGTCATAGTCTAAAATATGGAAAACTTCAATAAGCCTGAAACATTGGGGGACAAAATGTTCAAACAAAAACTAAAGTATATGGCCACAGTCACCAATTTGGAAAAGAACAGGTGAAACATTTGAGAACCATTGCTAACCATTAAGCACAGGGGTAACTCTATTATGCTTTGGGGTTGCACAGCAGCTACTGGCACTGGAAATAATGTGTAGATGGGAACAAGAAAGAATGGATTCAACTAAATATCAATATATATGTAATGGAAAGAAGGAATAACCTTGAGGAACAGGAAGAGGAGTTGCAACCAAGAGAACAGACAGATAAAAGAAATCTGAGTCCAGGCCAGATCTGTAACCCAAGTAAAGACAAGATCCTTCCTAGTTTTCACAAAGATAAAGGGAGAGAGGGGAGAAGTGCATTTAGATTTGCAAGATTATATTACAATCGCTCTATAATAAAAGTAGTATTAGCCTGCATGACTTTGGTTTCTTAGTTTGGTTTACCCTGGAGGGCTGACAATATCCTAGAATTAATGTCTCATACTGAATGAAGAAATTAATGCCAAAAAGAGGTTGCTATTTCAGCCATACAACAATACAAAACATATTTCCTTATCAGTGATGAAGTACTTGGAAGAAAGAAGATAAAAGTTTGGGAATGGCTTCATCATCCCCAGACCTGAATATTATTAAAAATCTGTGGGGAGATCTCAAATATGTAGTGCATGGATGGAGATCTTAGAATATTTCTGAGCTAGTAGATTTCTGTAAGGAAGAGTGGGAAAAAATGTAAAAGTGAGACTAAAAGACTCTTAGCTAGCTACAAGAAATGTTTGGAAACTGTTATTTCTGCCAAAGGGAATGTTACAGACACCTGACTAGAGGGATTTCCAAATTTCTGCACTTTTCTTTTTCTCTGATTCTACAAAAAACTGCACATAAATAGTAAGTATGCATTCACATTTGCAGAAAGGTATTGTGTTTGACATTGTACCATGTAGAGATTGAGGCAGCTTCTATTTACACAGAGATTCTTGAAACTTACATTTGGCCAGGAATGGCTAAACTTTTGCATATAACTGTAAATGCAAAGAAAGGAAGAACCAGAAATGGTTGTTTCATGTTGTCTTTGCACTTGATAACACTTGATACCTTTCTATAAATTACTGATTTGGAACTCTAAATGGCAAGAAACACATTCAAAGATTGCCACCACTGAATAAAATAATATGCCCTCTTCTATTTCTGACAGCCTAGGTTCTTACAACTGTCACAGATTCAAGAGAAATATTATAAGGAAAGGAAGCATAACATTTTCATTTGCCCCTCCTTCCTTCCTTCCTTCCTTCCTTCCTTCCTTCCTTCCTTCCTTCCTTCCTTCC